ATAGCATCTCGTGTGGCTGTATCTTGGTGGCGTCACAAGAGCGAGATGCTTGCGCTTTTGCGTCGCGACGGAGAAACGCTATTCTAAAACTCTCTTGCGTCGCGTGCGCTAATACAAGCGCTAAATTTAGCGCTAGCGTGCGCTAAAATTGCGTACGTAATTCTAAAACTCCTTATTGTTAAAGCCGATTTCCTCTGCATTCTCTCTTTCCACAATTTCCTGTCACTTTCGTTTATTCCATTTTCTACTGATATGCTGTAATCGGCCCCATCTTGTTGAATGTATTTAAATCTCAGCTTGCAGGTTAGGTTTTCCACTTTCACATATTTTTTTCTATATATGTTTATATATTCATATATAGATACTTGATACTTGTACATTTTCCCTGCCCACCGTGTATCGTCAATTTCAGCTAATCTTTGTTGAAAGTTTACTGATCGCTTCTCTATTCTCGAAAGATGCCCAACCCATATCCCACTCTACTCCCTCATTTGGTGTATTCCCATGTGCCCCCAATGCCAACCTATCCACACTCCTTTGCTGTACCTCTTCTAAACCTTCCTGGATTTCTGACCTCATACACAATACCGCATTCCAAAATGACAGTCCTGGAATTATGACTCCCTTTCATACATCCCTAACGACCTCATATCTATTATAGTTCCAGAGTGCCCTATGTTTCATAATAGCTAAATATCGTTTCCACTTCTTTATTACAACAGCTGCATGTTCTTTTAGATGCTTTCTTCTCTCATTGAATCATACAACCAAATAGTTGTACTTTCCTACGTGTTCTATTAATATGTCCTGTATCTCCAGGGGTTCCCCCTTCTCGTCGTTGAAAACTATCATACCCGACTTGTCCCTACTGACCTTTAGGCCTAAACTTTCCACTTCCCTGCTGCAAATCCTAATTAGTTCCTGTGTTGCTTCAAGCATTTCTGATGCAAATACAATGTCGTCTGCATACATTAACCCTGGCAATACTTGATTTCCATTATGTCCTTACCCCAAGTGGGTGGTTATCATTTGAGCCCGCTCTCGTTTCGACCTTCTCACTTGGCCCTTCTCAAAACAACCATTCTCAAAAAATCTTCTCTCTTGGACCTGTCGCATTTGGTCCTTTCCCGTTTCGCCTTTCGCATTCCAACCCTCCTCATTTGGGCCCGTTCTCGTTTTGCCCTTTTCACCTGGCCCTTTACAAAACAGCCATTCTCAAAAATATCTCGCTTTGACTCGTCGCACTTGACTCTTTCTGTACCAAAATCGTTTTTAGAGTAATATTAATAAATACATTGATATTATTTGTGTGTGTGTGTTTGTGTGTGCGCGCCACGCTACAGGCATACTCTCTCTACTAAGGATTTTAGCAGTGCGTCGAGGTCGTCGTGAAAAGCTACTAGCTGACTCTAAAATAGACCAACTATTTATCGCAGCCAGATCAAATTGCGAAATGTCACGTTGTTTGAGATCTCTCGACTTGGGACAATGCCATTACTTCTATAATGCAGTGGTTCCCAAAAGGGGGTTTGCGAAGGCTTCCAGGGGTCCGCGAAGTCCTGTCTCATCAGTCAGGCACGGCAATATTATTTGTCTTTCTTCACGTTGAGAAGAAACGTTCCAATTTTCGGGAGAGTACTCTCGTGTGTATATCAATGAGATAACTCTACTTCACACTAGCATTAATTATATTCATTTATTAAATCATTATCATGATATTCTATAACTTCCTATTCCCCTCACCCCGAACGGGGTCCTCCATCATCTCCGCCTTTCTGCGAGGGGTCCGCGAAATATTAGTGGTTGAGAACCACTGCTATTATGTATGCTATTTCTGTTCAAACAAAGTTTCCAAATTAAATGTTCATCGCTTTTTTTTTCTCTCGTTTGCTTAGAGGAAGGGAAGCAGGCGTCGATGTACGATTCTCAGTGCGTACCTCTACACATAACATATATTTGATGGTATGTTGGGGGCCCAAGCAAGGTAAGGCTCATCAGGAAAGCCGCGAAGGCATAACGACGTTAGAAGCATGCCGAACTAGTGCCATTCGGTCGTAGCGCGAACGGGCGAAATGAGAATGAGTCAAGTACAAAACGAGCGTGTTGGTAACTGTAATTAGATATGAGGAAGATACATAGAAAGGGGGGAGGGACAACGAAGACTTCCAACTAGCAACAACATTTATTGACCCGAAGTTTGCATATATAGGTGAAGGAGGGGAGGGGGGGGGGGGGGTTGCGAAAATCACGATTCGGATCTGATGAGAAGGTTCAAACGAGAAGGACCAAATGAGAATGGGTCGAAATGTGCAAGGTTCAAATGCGAATGGGACGTATTGAGATACACCCCCTCCAAATAAGTCAGGGCAAAACCTAGTTTGCACTGCTCTATTTTTTTCCGTCACACTGAGGTAATCATAGAGTGCACGGGAGACAATGGGCAACCCTGTCTATGTGCGAACTGGAGGTGGCTCTTGGGTCAAAAAAGCGGTCGTCACCTGGTCCTGACAAAATCCACTATGAAATGTTGCGGCATTTGTCTCTTGAATCTCTAGGCCATTTGTTGACTTGTTTTAATCATTTGTGAAAGGCTCCTCAGTGCCGGAAGCGGGAGCGTATAATTCCCCTCCTGAGACCCGGTAAAAACTATACTCTACCAGCAAGTTATCGTCCCATCGCAATGACCAGCTGCCTTGGGAAAACTTACGAAAAACTAATAAATAGACGATTGATACATTTTTTAGAGACTAGTGGAATTTTAGGTCCCAAACATTGTGAGTTTAGAATGGGGCGATCAACATTGGATCATCTTGTTCGCCTGGAAATTTTCACACGTGAAGCATTTGTTCATCGACAGCACTGTGTTTCGGCATTTCTTTACCTAGAGAAAGCTTATGATACTACTTGACGTTACGGGATTCTAAAAGACTTATACACATATGGTGTTCGTGGCCGCATGTTGCGCTGCATAAGGGAGTTTTTGACTTACCGAACTTTTCAGGTTATGTTTGGTTCCACACTTTCGGATGTTTTTCCTCAGGAAAATGGCGTCCCTCAAGGGGCTGTATTGAGCGTCACCTTGTTTGTGGTGAAGATAAACAACCTTGCTGCATTGATACCTCCGTCACTTTCATATTCATTGTATGTCGATGAAGTGTAGATTTCCTTTTCGTCCTGCAATATCTCAAGTTGTGAGCGCCAGCTTCAAGTGTCAATAAACAAAATGAGTAAATGGATCGATGAAAATGCTTTTAAGTTTTCATCTGAAAACCAGTGTGTGTGCCCTTTAAGGAATTTCTCGCATTACAAGAGTAATATCAAGACTATGTTCAATTTTTTACTGACGGGGCCAAAAGCTCGTTTTTCGTAGCTTCCACAGTTTATTCAGAACACTTTAGTAGAGCAAGACGTACTGACATTATTGCAAGTATTTTCACTGCTGAGCTTTACGCTATGCTTATGGCGCTTGAACACATCTTAGAAGACCGTGTGAGGAAACCTATTTCGTTTGTAGATTCCCAGAGTGCTCTACTGGCTGTATGTCCGCTTACCGTTACGAAGAATCGGCTCGTACAACAAGCGCGTGTCCAAATGCATCGAGCTCTCCTACTTGGCCTTGATATAAAACTATGCTGGGTGCCAAGCCATGTAGGTATTCCAGGTGATGAGGCAGCAGATAGATTGGCTGCCTCTGTTAATGGTGGGCTAAAATCGTCGCTTGGCCTACCGGATGAGTATTTTAAACCAGTTATTAAAAAAATCAATTTATGAGCTTTGGCAGTTGGAATGGAGTCAAGAAACACACAATAAACTACATAATATCAAACCTTGTTAAGGATTATGGGAGATTTTCCACTAGAAGAACCGGTTCCACGAAGTTTTGATGTGCCGCTTGCGTATTGGACACACACGTTTAACGCATCTATATTTACTTTGTAATGACAATACCCCGCGCTGTGAGCATTGTGGCAAAACATTGACTGTCCTACATATTCTGTGGCACTGTGGGTACTTCGATCAAAAACGACGAGCATTTTTGTCTACTATTTTTGGATCCCATCTTCCATTTCATTCCACATTTTTGGTAGGACATAAACCTCTTGTACCTTTCAGTAAAGTTTTGGAATTTTTTAAAATAACAGGCTACCTACGCCTGTTATAATTTCTTATTTTTCAACGTGTTTTTTTTTTCAGAAAATTTCTTGTTGAATATAACTTTTATACTTACCTGAAATTCATGTCCATATCTTTTACACGATTCATGTTCATTCTTTTATTGCATCACCAGCTACTATAGCTCTGTCGTCTCCTTAACCCTTTTCCTGCAAGAGTGTATGCACCTGGCGCATTTTGGCCTAGTTTCTCTCGCGCCATAAAACTCCAATCAATCAATCAATCAATCAATCACCCCATTAAACGTTTAGTTTGCTTTAGCTTTCCTCGCCTCATCAATTGTCATTCGTGGCAATATTCATTTGGTTCAGAAAGAAATGTGCACTTTTCTCCGAGCAATGTAGTTCTCGAGAAGAAAAGTCTCCGATGTTTGCACTTAGATTCAGATAGTTAACCTCTTCAGTGAACCAGCAATAAACCATTGGCAAGAGTTTTATAGGAACGTTATTTGAGGGTTTCTTCCAGTGCTCTTAGTGACGGTGCTTATTTAGGTGGACAGTCTAAACAAATCACTGAATTTGCGCAAAAAAAACATAAGCACACAAACAGACACACACATTTGAGGATGTGCTCGACGGTTGCTTCCGTTACAGTAATAATGACTGAAGTTTACGGCTGCTTGCTAACTTGCTGTTACGCTGCTAAATTGCCGCCTGCTTCTCTGCTGTCTCTACGCACGTTCTTTATTTTGTTTGGCACAAGTTCGCCTTAATAAACTCTCAGTTAGAACCGGCATTCTTGCCCTTTCTGATCCTGTCATTCGTGACACTGTTAAGTGAACATGACGAAATACACCCTCAGTAAACACGGATGAAAAAGAGTGAACGAACACGACAGGTCAACGGCAGAGTCGCCATCGAAGTTTATTCTATGAAAAGGAAACAAAGGAAACTTCTTAAGCAGATTGCAAACACATATATTAAAACGAACGCCTACCAGGCAACTAGAGGTCGCAAATATATCGTTTGGTTAATTGTTTGGCCAATGTTGGAGCCTAGAAAGCAAAAAGCACCCCATGCACTCGGTCGTTTATCACCTCTGCGTGACGTCAACGTTCCTCAAACTCTAGAAAGGTTCATGGAGCTCGGTCCCAAGTCAGCCTTCAGCCAAAATTTATCGAATATGTTATTTGTTTCTATATAGCTTTACGATCCGGGTCTGCTCTTAGTTAACCCTGTGTTGTTAAAACGCAGCATTCATAAATGCTAATTTCAATTGAAGAGTGATCCAATAATGTTAGCATCCGGGGAAGAAAACAATAACCAGATTGTATAAAACGCATTATCTTGTTCTGGAGAGTGTTTGTTCATACTGTTGACGAGTGCAGTATTGTATTTCGTTAACTGGCTAAAGATGCCCGTCTTATCTCATGCTGGGTCTCTTCGGTTAGTTGCGTACCGATAGGGTCGTTCGTATAAAAATGCAATGTGGAACAGCGGACAAGCAGTACGGAAAACTAATTTGCACCAATTTGAAGAGCTTGATGGGTAGTCGCATTCTGACTTGACACCGCGTGTTGGAAGACTAGATGGTTGCATCACGAAGTCTTCTTTTTCTAACCACTAAATATAACAAGAAAATCACCAAGAGGGCCTGCCATAGGTCACGTGACTTTTGTTCGGCACCTGGAACAAATCAAACACAAGTAATTTATCACGCCCTTCGAGTGTAGGTCCAGTACATTCAAATACAAATCAGCGCGTCATTTCACTCTTGTTGTTTACAATAGCTTTTTTTTAAGTTCCAGTGAGCTGGGGAAAAATATATTCATAAAATAATTTACATAAAAAATGTAGATACATACTAAAGCTACTTCTTCACATAATTACCGACACATTAAAATAATTGGGGTTATGTGGATATTTGTACAGCATGTAGTTGGTCAGCCATTTCGAAGTTGTGACGAGTCACTCGCTGTAGAGGAGCAATTTACCCTGTGCAATACAACCGCCAGTCTGAAGTCTTTAATATTCATCACGCAGTACTGTTACACGACCGAACGCCGGTACGATGCTCATCCATATCGAAACGGGCGGGGGAGGGGATTGAACCCAGGATCCCCGGGTTCTGCAGCGTGAGCTTTCGCTCCATGTGCTCCGAGCTGATGTGCGCTAGCTCACTCGGCCACCGATGTCCTATTAACATAATAAAGCAGTTGTATTGACGTGAAATAAGCATGCGATAGCTCTTTCCCCCAAAAAAATAATTGCCGTCTAGGTTCTCGGTTATTTCCTCACGAGTCCGTCAGTCGCCCGTCAGTCGTCACAGACGCTTGGTCCGAATCTTTGTGATGCCGGCTCCTACTACCATAGCCTCCTCTATACTGACAAAGCCAGGCAGATCGCCACGAAAAGCGGCCGCCGAAATCGAAAAGGTACAGCGGCATACACCAGATGAGAGGAGAGCAACGTGACCGGCGCCCGGCTGAGGCGAAACGCTGAAACACACTTCTCACGAGCGATGGAATGTCTGCTCGTACTTCTTGCGTTCCTCGCGCAAACTGCCAGCCTTTCTTAGTATAGAGGAGGCTATGGCACTACATACGGAGCTGCGCGTGACCTTGTGGAGTCAGTCTCGCTCTCGCTTGCTGTTACGCCACTGAATTGTCGCCCGCTTGTCTGCTGTCTTTACGCGATCGTTCTTAATTTTGTTTAGCACAAGTTCGTATTAATAAACTCCCAGTTTGAAACGGTTCTTTTGCCGCTTTTGCTCCTGTCACTCGTGACAATGTTAACTGAGCATGAGGAAATAGACCCTCAGTAAACACGAATGACGAAGAGTGAACGAACACGACAGGTCAACGGCTAACTCGCCATCGAAATTTATTCTATGAAACGAAAACAAGGGAAACTTCCTAAGCAAATTACAAACATACATATTAAAACGAACGCCTACCAGGCAATTAGAGGCCGCAGAGATATGTTTTGGTTATCTCTTGGTTACTAGGCACCCTGTCGTTTATCACTCTGCGTGACGTCAAACCTTCTTCATACTCTAAACAGGTCCCTGCAACTCGTTCTCAAGTTTGGGCTCGAGCCCGTGCTGAGACCTCCGGAGCTGGTAAATTTTTCAAGAAAGGTTGCTTACAAAGCCAAGGATCAGGACCGTCAAAATTCCTTTCCGCGTGTGTGAAATCCCCTCAAGGTCGGGAAACACCAGGTGGACAAGTGGGACTACTGAGGCATTTGGTCAATTACATGATAGACAATGAGTTGCGCGTGTTGGTGTCAGACAAAGAGGAATCTGGAGGCATGTTTGGGTAAAAAATCTGATACCGCTATTCACAAAAACTTCAAGCGGATAGATGTTGTAAATAAAAAGGCAAAGGTGCGGGCACATGAGCCGTGGGATAGCTGAGCCTTCAGTTAACTGCGAGCGAAGATCAAGAAGTGTGGATGTTTGAACCTACAAGTGTTTGGTGCGCAAAGCACAGAAAGAGTCCTTTTCCTTTAGGGCTATTGTGACTGAGGAGGGCTCCTGGCAAAAGCAAATGGGTTTATATGTGCCAAAACGTGGATGTCGTGTTTTATGCCCCACCTGGGCTGGCAAGATAAGTTATATTTCTAAAAAAAGCGGGCGTGCGTATAGGGTCGTGTGTGGCCCCGATTCTAAGTGACGTTTTTCGTGGAGAAGTGGACAAAGCTATTGGAGGTGCTCATGAGTATACCACCGTGAGGAAGGCGTTTTGCCACGTGGATGCTTTCTTTTTTTTGTCTTGCACAAGAGCGCCGGCGCTGTTAATACTAGGGCAAATGTAGGTGAATAGACAAAGGATGTCGGGGTTTCCTTTTGGGCCCTTTGGATGAGGTCGCGGGCTCCCTTTTGAAACAAACAAATGGTGTAGAGAAGAGAAATGAAGGTGCGGGGAAGTCTAATGGTAAGAGTCCCCTACCTTCGTCGGCCTTCCCACAACCTAAAACAAGTCGGAGGTCGGTACAGAATACTTGTTTTCTTCTCAGATCCACAAGAGATGATCCAGGTATGCGCGAGAGTTCGTGCTTGCGCTGTGTGTCAAAGCTAAGTGCACAAAAGCAAAAAAAAAAAAAAAACGTTGGTGGTTTATACATAGGGTGTCGTGTACCGGATACCCCTGTCGTGTGGAAGATCTTCTTTAGGCCAGACACAAAGGCGTTTAACTGAAAGGTTGAGAGCGCACGCTTACTTTATAGGGCTAAGGTCAGGGGACTCCTATCGTTTCATTGAAGGGATTGTTCAGACTCCCTCAGTTTGGTGACGCGGTAGTTATGGGTAGAAAGCTAAATAGAATGGCTCGATAAATAATTGAAGCATTCTTTATTTCTTTGTTGGAAGACAGATGTGTCAGTGAGCCATCGGTGGCGTTTTCCAAGAAGGAGATGGCATACCTTCGCCCTAACAGGAGTTCCAATTAGTAAGGCGTTACCTCTGCGGGCTCTAGTTGTCTGATAGGAATGCATTTTAATTTGTGCGCGTGTGATTTGTTTAAGAAGTTTCCTCTGTTTCCTTTTCATAGAATAAACTTCAGTTGCGAGTCAGCCGTTGTTCTGTCATTTTCGTTCCCTCTTCGTCGTTCGTGTTTACTGAGACTTTATTTTATCATGTTCAGCTGTTACCAACTGGCCCAACTTACAACCCTACTTCAGTTGATATTAAATGCACTAATTTGTGCGGTAATTGTGTAATGGATTATATAGTTTGTAGGCCCAGTTTGTGTAGAAGTTTTTTTTTTTTTTTTATCTTGTTCTTTGTAACTCAGTTCATCTAAACTTAAAGTAAATAGTCCTAGTTTGTTGAACTTCAAGCGGTAATCACATCACGAAGAATTATCCAGGCTTTTGCATCACGTGATGAAAGCGTCAGGCTCTTTTGATGAAGGTCAATGAGGTCAGCTCGGCGGCAGAAAGGGGCAATATGATCGGGCGGTACAAACAATCCTAGCTCGGCGGCGAATCAGTTTGTTTTAACGATAGCTAGTTTGTCATGAAACACTTTGGTGTCTGTCCTAGAAACCACTGAATTCGTGTGCGGTGGCTTGACGAATGGAAACCGCTAAGTTGAATTACAAACACAAACATCCCTCCCCTCTGCACCTGGTCGGTGCAAACAACGAAGCTGAAAATGTACATGCGTACACAGCCGACGTCACGCATGTATCGCCGCGGATTTATTCCCTGTGTTAACACCGCTCTAGAGCATTCAAGGCTTATTTTTAAACTGTGGAAGCTCGCCGTGCGGCTAGCACATAAGTATGGTCGTTCGTCACATAAAACACTGGAGACCAGGCTCTAGCACGTCTACAAGAAGCGGCACGTCTACCACAAGCCGAGAGCTGAACTCACCGTTTGGAGTTAGGGCGCCAACCTCTTCCGTTGTCTCGAGACGCTGTCCCTCGTGGTTGTTGTAGAAGGTCACACGACAGGTGTATTGGCTACTTGGAATTAGATCCTTCACCTCTATGTCCACGTCATCTGGAGTGCAGTTAATATCGTACTTCTTCCCAAAGGATGAGCACTGAGCGGAGCAACCGTCCAAGTTGCCGTTTTTTTCTTTGGGAGGATCTATGTGCAGCCGAATGGATGAAGGGCTCGTTGCCGTAGCAGTTACTGTGAAGTTCCCCGGAGCTGTAGAGAAATGAGGTACGTATAAACTCAGGGCGTTTAAAGCTGGCGGTTAACAAGAGAGCAACGTACAATGCTAACAAAGGTTTTTAAAGCTATAAGGCGAATTCACTGGTGCCCATAGCTGAGTTGAGAGTTGCTCATGGCATGCGGACGTTGAGCTTTTACGGTGCTTCAGCAACGTGAAGTCCACACCTTCAAGACTCCACGTCTTGGGAACCTCTAAGGAAGGTGATGAACCGCACCCGAACTCGAACCTTAAAACCGTAACAAAATTGTTCTTCGTCGCTGAACCAGAACAAAAATGTAACCGAAATCAAACATTTGATATTGAACCCAAACAGAAACGGAACCGCAATCTCGTGTGGAGGATACCAGTTCATTGGAAAAAGGTTCGGCGTCACGAAATGTGAGCTCCGCGTGGTTTCGCGATTGGCGACGCGAAGTCAATTAAATGTTCGCGACGGTGTTGTTAGCGGCGTATTGTTGACTACAGAAACTACAGCGACGGAAATACGACTCAATAATAACGAAACAAATAAATAAATGTCACGCAAATGTGCAGCACGACTTGGCGTCGGCGCGGAGGCGTACACTTCTGTAGTCGCGGGTACATCAATGCAACCGTAGTACATCGAATCGGGATATGAGTAAATGTGATTGAACAGAAAGGAAGAAACAAAGGGACTGGGATCGTGTGATCGCTTCCCTTTCATGTAAACGTGGCCAACGTTCCGCTTTCCTTTACGATGGAACGCAGCGTAAGCTACGAGCCAGCAGAGCCAGTTTGATACCGAGTGATTAGCGAGTTTTAGTAGACCGTGTTTTCCCCTCCGCTACCCGGAACTCTACAGCCAAGGTCATTGGCGCACAGGCGCAGTGGCGGTTTTTTCGTAGCGGAGGGTTAGCGGAGGGGGAAACAGTCTACTAAAACTCCCTATTGTCACATTGCCTTCGGGAGGGGCGTAGTGACGGGCGGAACGCACTTAGCTATGTGAGAAGATTACATCGGCGGAATGGCTGGGATGATACGTAGCGTCAGCCACGGTCCGTCAGGGGAAAGATTGCATTTTTAAGGCCGGTTCTCACATGCGGCGAAGCGCTGATATAGCGCCGCTCACGTGCCGTCTGCTACTTACCGTCTGTCGTGAGGGACAGTTTTGACGGTACGATACAAAGCTGGTGAACGCTCCTGTCAGCACGCGCTTAGCGCGAGGTCAGCGCTATGCCTGTGGCGCTCCGCTGCATGTGTGAACAGGCCTTTATTCTGCCAAGAGGCTGAAAAGCTATTACTTCTGTGTGTGTGTGATTTCGTTTTTGTGCTGTAGAGTACTAAGGAATGAAAAAAAAAGGTAAAATTAATAAAAAATAAAATCGACGGCTGTGGGCGTGTGTCTGCCCTGTCTCGTGGGTGCCAGTCGCCGGAACGCCAATCGCCCGGACTCTGGACGCTGACTGAGGAAAATATTTTTCTCTTTCTTTTGGTTTTGTCAAGTAAGGCATGCCCTCTGTTTTTTCTCTCTCTTTCTTTTTTTTTTACATATTTTATTGTCTTCTCTGTACTTCTAGTCTTCCGGTCAGTCATTCAATGGTGGTAGTTTGCGAGTTCGGTGCGTGCTACTGTCGCGGCGTCATTCCTGCGTGCTGCCGAATTGAATTCATACGTGTGTGTTCTGCAATATGGTACTTTGTCAGAGCGCCCGTATGGCCACGTATCTTGCACCGAATCGTGTTTACAATAAAAAGTTAAGATTACAAAATAAAACGATTTCTGGTCAACCACTTTTTTTTTATTGCGAAGGATGCCGAGTTGGACACACTTTTTCGTAAGGGCTGAGGGTTGTGCACTTCTGTTTGCTTAGCGCGAGAAATGCATTGGCAGACGCGGACTAAGGTAGAGTTAAGAACCAGTTTGAACCGGCACCGGTAACCGAACCGTCATTTGGCATGAATGACTGAACCGGAACCGAGCCGGTACAAAATGCAAAGTTACTGTAGCCGAACGTGAACCAAACCAAATAATGACCAATTCGACACATTGCCTATAAGCGTGAGCCCGAACTGAGCATGCCAGGGTAACATCGCACTCAAACATCGTTTCCAGTGAACAACGGATATAGTTTTTTATGAGAAACCTCGACGAACATTTCTTGCTCGTGTTGGTCTAACCATATGGCGTCACAATATCACGCGAAGTATTGGTATCGTGCGACGTCACAGTGGCAAGTGATGTTATAGTGTCAAGCGACGCCATGTTGCCATCTGACCTCAAGATGTTAAGCTTCGTCACGATGTCGCTTACGTGACAGCACACCTTTCCCTTAAATATCGCGGGAAAACATCTCCGTTAAGTCACGATAGAAAACGCCCATCTTTAAAACCCCCATCAGGTGATATCGCACCTTTATTGTATTTTAAGGAAATGTCTGTGTTCAATTTTGCAGCCAGCACATACCGTGTTCACCCACTACAAGCTCCCAGTATGAATAATTCTAATCTCATTAAACGCGGTGTAGACGCCCCTTTCTTAGGATGCCGCTTCAATAGCTCGCAACCTTGGAAAGAAAGGATTTTATGTTCCCTGAATGAAAAAACTAAAGATACCTCGTAATTAATTATTCTGGGTGTTAGCAGGGAAGTCAGCCGCAATAGGCGTCTGGTGTCTCTACTGTAGATAAGAAATTAAGCCAGTTCACTAAAACCACGAGCTTGGGGCCTTTAACGCTTACCACGTAGCAGTGATAGACAACTACACGCAGGTACAATATATTTATCTAAATCAAAACCGGCAGGGATGGTTACTAATGTTCAAAATGGAAGCTTGTGCCTGTTGGTAAGGCATGACGATTAAAACGTACGGCGCACAAACACAGGACGAACCGAAGAGGACAGACAATAGCTGAAATTACAATTTAAGTTTTATCGTCAAGGTGCAAACTTATATTAGACGACCAACCAAAACCACACGCACGCACACCCTCTGACACACCAGTAGTTTGCAGCACCCTTTTTACGGTCTTGGTCGTCGTGCAAGAAATTTTAACTCGGCGATTGTTTGTCCTGTTACTTTTGTCTTGCGTTTATGCGCTCTAAGTTTAATTCATCGTGGTTCTTAAACCCAGTATTCCTGCGCTCTCCAGCTTGAGACTATCGCTATGTGCTCCGCGCTGCGGCGTGCTAACACATTCGGCCACCGACCCCTAAAGACACCTACCGAAGGCGGGTGTCTTGAAGTGCTTAACTGCGGCTTGACTCTTGTGGACTTGTTTGGAGCACGAAGCCGTCGAATGAATGACGACGCAGTAGTCGGTGACCGGCTTTGTGCTGAGGACTAGACTCATGTTACTGGTCTCATTTTCGTGGCAGTCAACTTGCCGCGAGCTCGGACACGAGTCCGGGTTCGCACACACCGTGACCTTGTACGGACCCAGTGATCCCCACACGTGTTGAGGAGCAGTCCAGTGTAACATCGTTTTTCTTGGGTCTTCAGGGTCATGTTTTATGTCCATTGGAGGTCCTGGATCTGTAGAGCAGAAAAAGTATGTTTTCAAACAAATGTTGCTTTATACAATGGTTTTAAGCATAGGCTCTAGACTTTTAGATGACTATACTATTGTGAAAAAGTCGTTTACCTTGCCCACAATCAATATTATTATTATTATTGAGATTTAGAGTTGACATTTAGATTTTAAGTATTATATATCATGGCAGAGGAGTGTGCCGATGGTGTTATTTTGTTCCTGTAGTACGCGGTTCTATACAAATAAATTAGAGATAATCAAACCTGGATTTTCGGTCCGCATAAATAATCTACGCATTGCAGAGAGCTGGCACCCCGCCCGATTAATATACCAGTTGGGTTGGATGGGCAAGGTTGGGGACATGAAGTCACTTAATTATTCAATAAAAGAGAAAGAAAATTTCTCTACGCCATTCTTATTCCGCTAAGAACAACAAATATTATTGTTTCCGCCTGGGGAATTTATTACAATGAAAAAAACTCTGCAAGAAAAACAAGTTTTTTCTTGTTTTTGCTGATCATTTGCTTATGTGGTGGATATTGATGCCAGTCTCCCACAATACTAATTTCTGGTTTGATAAGATTAAGCTTAGATAGTCGTCTTGCTCTCCTATTTATTGATCACGTAATGTCATATTCTCAAACTTCTACATACTATTCCCACCGCTAGCGTCATATTCTGACTCAGTTTGAGCTTTCTGCAATGCATAACTTCTTAATGCGAAAAAAAAAGCAAAAAAAAAAAAAACGTGGTTAATTGTTTTGGTTGAACCAGGTGCATTCCAACCACACAAGGAAAATGCGACAGGGAGGGAACTTCTAGTTAGGGGGATATTTTTATTTGTAGTAGTGGGCAAATAGCGGTGTATTTTTTATTTTGTTTTCAAAGCGCTTAACGCCCTCCCGTGTAAACAGAAGGGACGGAACTGAGGTGCCATAAAGGTATGGAAAATGTAATTATTTCCAAACTGGTCCTGAGTACAAAAATTACAAAACAAAGTACAGTTAGTACTAAAGGTCATTCACACATTAGGAATTAAGTACGTTTTTCATTACTGGACTACAAATCTCTGGACACCAGTGATCTATATGTCACGTACCAACTGTCCGCTCTTTGAATAAACTGCGATGTGTCAAGCGTCTAAGTCTTCACAGCGTTCTGGAATGTAATTAAACTCCACCTAGTGAATGGGCCTTACAGTGGCGTAAGCCTTCCTTTCAATACGTTTTAAGTAAAAGAGCAGGTTTCTGCTGTTCTTTTTTTCCCAGTGAATTCCGATAAACGCCAAAAATTAACCAAAGTATTTTTTGTGTGTGTCAAAATTAGTTTAAATTTAAGAAATACTGGATTGTAGTTTTCCTTGAATAAGGGAAACTGAAGCTTTGGTGGAAAGAAATATTTAGGCGTTCATTCGAAACACTACACCCAAACAATTGTCCGCAAGGATGCATATTTTGTCGGGAACCACACACCTGACCTTGTTTCTTTCATTTGCATGTTCCCTGGAGAATGTACATAAAGGCAAGTTCGCAAACGTGTGTCGGCTACGCTCGCAGCAACCAAGACGACAACAGCGACGAAGTAACCGGGACAAGCGTTCGACGTTTGCAGCGTGGGAAGCGATGCGAGAGGCAGCTTCTCGAAGCTATCATGAGTCACGGTTCATCCGGTGTTCTGGTCGTTTCTGTCGCTTTGGCTGTCGCGAAAGAAACTGTCGCAAACGTGCGAACTAAAGTCATTGAAGTCTCAAAAAGTAGCGCTAAACTCTCTCATTTTTGTTTTCTAAAAAATTTGCGAAAGCTGCCGCTCAGCCGCTGCGGCTGGCCAGAGCACAGCGACAGTAGAAATCGCGCCACTCTAGGGCCGAAATCGCTGCATGTGAAACCCGCTTTACGCTATTTCTCAAATTTTGCGTTGGAGGTGAGCGCCAGCCCCAAACCCAAAACTGAGTTTGGGTTCAGCGCATGCGCAGTAGTGAGCCCCTATTTATTTGGGCCCCCAAGCTTTGGGACCTCCTATTCTGAACCTCTCTATTACCTTCTCACCACCACCACATGCGACGCCTGTGCTTGGCGGCATTGAAAAATAATTTTCCTGACTTGAAATACGCGAGAACTTGTAAGAGAGCTGTGGAGATATGCATGACTGATAAGTTGATTGCATGTACTGTGCCAAAGAATCTTATAGTGGAGAGCAACGCTTTGAGTACGATGATGCCTCACTGCGATGTTAATGCGACTGGATCAAAACAACCCTTTCGAATCTTCGACTATTAAATGGACCAAAATGGCGATTGTCATGGCAACTGAGGTCAATGAGCCAATCAGCTCAGGAGGTTTGATCGTCTGTATCTTAGTATCTGTTTGTGCCCGACTAGCAGACAGGCAAGGTAATAACGCTTTAGTGTGAGCCAACTTTAAGACCCCGATCAACCGGGATGAACCTGAGTTCAATGCTTTCCTGACACCGAAAACTGGCAATAAGGAAACACCCCCAAAACCGGAAGAAAGATGAACACCTAAAACACGGAACCCTAGCTACGACTTATGAGGTCTTACGTCGAGTTGGAGCTGCGAGTCACATGTGCGCCCGTGCTAGGCGTGAAGCATGGCGAAAATATATAAGTACACTTTTATGAGACATAGGAAGCGTGGATGAGCCGGTGTCTTTCATTTGTCCTCTCCACAACGTAGCCTGAGAAAACTTAGTCGAACGCTAGGGCGCGAATGGGTCTCAAAAGCGAACAGGTAAGACGCCACCAAGAGCACTCTTCGTGATGAAAACTTTGATCTAGACTACGAGTAGTCACTCGTCAGTGCTCTTCAATGCGCGTCGCTCGCCGTAGGAGGCGTAAAGAAATCCAGCGTACGGACTTGTCATCTCTGCGGAACTCAAGTTCGTCTGCCTCTTTTGCTGGGGACATGTGGTGACGTCAGAACGCCGAACTCTGTTTGGTTCTGATTAAAGGACAGTGGGTAGACCTCAAGGCAGCTTGCTCTCAGGTCTACCCACTATCCTTCAGTCAGAGCGATCAGAGCTCGGCATTATGACGTCAGCACAACCCCAGCAAAAGAAGCAGACGAACTTGCAATCCGCATAGTCAGTGAAAGCTTAACAAGAGCAAGTTGCGGCTTATGAGGTTTTCACTTCTCTCTTTCTGATTCGTTCTTCGGCATCTTTGTCAGTTAATACAACATACTTGGTTGCCTGAGAAACGACAATAAAATACGCGGAGCTCGCCACTCCCTGCGCAGCTGTAGGTGGCTATTTGGGGTGTCGGGTAGATGCTGCGAGGCGAGCAGAAGCCCGTAGGACGTTCCCCTAAATTGTTACGTGCTTTCTGCGCACCATTTTAAGATTTTGGCAAAATTTCTGATTAAACCCAAGAATACTGGGTTCTACAAAAAAAAAAAAAAAAAGAACTCTTGTGTTACGTTTTCCTAACTGCGGTGTCTTAGCCCGCTCGAGCCTAGGTCTTTATTTTCTTATTTACACAGTTTTCGAAGACACCTTATATCCCAGCAAATTTTCAGATTTATTAAGGCGAAATTGGCGGGGTTACTCTCCTCCGGTGCACGAAAAAAAATTTTGAGCTTACATCCGGGTGCGTTGTTTGATGTTTGATGATGCGACTCCGGGGACTTTTTGTCCAAGGCAATGTTTCTGAACGGGAACAAGCTAACAATTTTGCTGAATAGTGCTTTCTTCGAATGTAATTGACAACTGTACCAATTTACCTCTGTCCATCCATCTCCCATTCATTCTCCTTTACACCACTTACCAAGCATTAGGAGGATCCCTACCTTTCCCCGGCACTTGGATGTTGCTCAATGTAACTCCGGCTGAGACTTCAGGTGACGAGGACGAATTCTGCGCGAAAACTGTAACGTTTAAAGTGGTGCACGATTCGACGCCCTCACAGGTTATCTGCGTCTCAGTATGGTTCAGTATGGTTTCGTTGAGGCATGTGCCAATTCCGGTCCCGCTCGTGTGGAAGATCACTTTGTAGACTTCGAACACCGCAGTAGGTTTGTCCCAGGCCACCGACACCGAGCTTGAATTTTTGGACAGAATACGGAGGTTGGTGACATCTGTCGGTACTGTAACGAAAAAAAGCATACTGCCATACTGAAAGTATGATGCCAAGTGCAGCGTAAATAATTATTTTTTTTTGTCGGACAGCAGAAAGTTAGTACCATAGAGTTATTACAATAAACGCTAGAGGCTCAGGTGGCGCTAGCGTCTACGGGACTTCCGGTTGCAGATTGAAGCAGACAGCAAACTGTCTACTTTTCCAGCCTTCCTGTAAATTCCTATGGGAAAACTTGCGTGATATTTTTCTCTTCGCCAGGGAATAATAGAATAGGCGTAATTTCTTCACTCATTATGGGCACTATGTAGCTTTATTCAGACGATAAAAGTGTAATTTATTTAGTTAATGTTTTTTCGTACTTAGTGATGTTTAAATTAGCAAAAATCGAGGCCCGGGTCTATGTTGAACAGCGTGATATGTCAGTACACGCTATGAATTCAAGCGAAGACCTGAAATACGTTTACAATTCTCTGTAACGCCGAACTGGATAGCAGCTCATGAGGAGAAAGGGAGGGTACGGAGCGAAGGGTATGCGCCTCCTCGTTCCTCGCTATATTAAGCGTTTGTAGCCTTGCGCCGTCACGCCTCAACTTTACTGAGACATTATAACAACCGAAAATATTCGAAAGATATAATGAGGCAAAATCACTTACGAGCGTTGAGGGGAGCCTTTTTCTGGAAAAAGAGAAAGAAAGAAAAACAGACGTTTCAGCTTACTACATCAACTTCTTCGGGAATAATAAAAAAGGTACACTAGCATTTCAACGTTATCACAGGGATATCGAGCGTAGGCCCAGGCTGGAAACCATTGCTACGTCGGTGTTCGGCTGGTACTCGTGCCTAGTCGTCGAAGGACGCTCTGCGTCGGACTCTTACCCAATAAACTATTTCGAAAATTCCCTGTACGCAACACTGTGCGCATTGCATTATGCGACCTCTTTGGGCATAGAGTGGAGTGGTACGATTTGGATTTTGACTCTCCCGTTGGCGAAGTGACGAAGTAGTGAATCTCAGCACTGCATGAATATAAAGTTTGCTCTCGCTTGCATTGCACCGATTCATCGTCTTGAGAGCCCCCGTGGAAACACGGATCTCCAGCGGCCGTAAGAATCTGCTAGAGCCACTACATGAGTTACGCTTATACGACCGGCACTGTTCCGCGATATTGTTGTGGGCGCCGCCATCTTGGTGCTTAGCACAGTGTAAACGCAACTGCCGATCGTCATTATTCAAAAGTGCGACTTCCTCAGCATTAGATTCGGTGTTAGGAAGGACATGTAATATTGACTTGCTTTGCCGCGAACTGTTTAAACATTTATGGAAGGAAGAAAGGGTTCCATGTGATATTAAATGGAGATTAAGAGAACTGGCACCCATGATTTTAAGCACCATGATGGATACGTGTCGTCACTCTAAAGCATTGCTTATTTATTGAATCTAGTATCCGCCGAGACTTAGCGAGGAATGGGGGTACTGCCGGCCGGCCACGTTTCCGACATTTCTGGCGGTCCGGCTACCACTGGAGAGTGCAGCATGACCCTTCTGCTCACGGATCATTTAAGAAGCTTATGGCATTGAGGAGACAATAGAACAGGATGCTCGGTCCACTATACATCTTCCATCTCCTATCGTAGTTCTGTGTTTACCTGCGCATTAACTCTAGCACATCGGCTGCCCAAAGACGTATCTTAGCATTCTACTCGTATTCGTAGGCCACACCTGACTTGCGCCTGTTACTTGAAAAATGTAATGGATTACAATTAAAAATTACCAAGCCCCAAATGCAGTGGATTACCGTTAACAATTACTTTCGCTAAGAAGTAACGGATTACTTTACTAGTTACGTTACGAATTAGTTTCGCGCTACGTTACAAATTAGTTTCGCGTTGCTTTCACGTTAATTTACCCTACACTTATCAAGCAACAAATAGAAACAATTTTGATGTTTTCACAAAAAATGTTCTGCAATGCTACTTTCCATTTTTCATTCGCCCGCATAATGGTAGTAATCTTGTAAGAATAAAATGTGTTTAAGATAAAAAACATAGGTGAACTACGTTTGCTTGTAAGCTGGCAAGGCAGCGAAAGCTGCAACCACGCCCGCCATCCCGTTAGCTTATGGCAACCTGAAATGAGCCCCAGAATTCTGCAGACAATGCTAGCGGTGCGAATGCTCACTAGCAGCGTCTACCTGCGCTAGGAGATTCACAGGTGAAGAGCTGATCTACGAAAGTTCCCTTTTGAAACGGGCCTTTCAAGCGTGAGCGCCACGCCTCAAAGTTTCGGTCTCGTGCTTGTAGCTCTGACGCACTGTCAGCTTATGCCTGAACAAAGTATAGTTGCACGCAGTACTGAAAAAATGCATGGGCTCAAAAATGCATGCGCTGCATGCGTTATCTTCACGACCTATATTTTTTGCATATTTGTACGTGCCTTGCACATTTATCTAGTGGTTCTATTGAACGGTCATATAAAAAAGCGTGTTTGCACCCTATTAAAAATATTTTTTACCGGAATTTCACTTCCCGTAAAAAATCTATTTTACTAAATTATGGGACTTTTTCACCTCCCGTAAAGCCGTAATTTACCGGAAATCACCAGATTTTTTCCCGGATTTCTTTTTTTTTATTTTAAAAAGTCTATTTTACTGGATTGTGGGACTTTTTTCACTTCCGGTAGAGCAGGAATTTATTGGAAGTTACCTGTTTGCCTGGACTCACCAGAAATCACCGGAAGTCATCGGATTTGCCGGAATTCACCCGAACTTATTATGTTTTTGTTTTTTTCGGACGTCAGCGGAAGGCACTTAGGAAGAAGCCTGTGAACCGTGGGTGGTGTGAAAGACAAAATCGACCTGAGAACCTCTATCATACGAGGACGCTACATCATGTTGGAAGGGAGGAAAAACGTTGTTCGCGTTCAAATGATTGACTGAAGTGCTATATATTATGTGCTCTAACTGTTTTGAACAGGCAGATAAAAGAAATATAGGTCAGTGGTTATCTGCTTTACTCTTTAAACCGCGTGTATGGAGAAGCGCAACGCTAGCTACATTCCATTCTGCCGGCAGTTTTGAAGATGACAAGGACTTTGCGAACAAAATAAAGAGAAAACAAGAAAAAACGACTGCTCAGTGCTGCACTGTTCCGCCATCGCTGCAGAACCCAGCGATCCTGGGTTCAATCCCCACCCTTTTCGATCTGGATGAGCATCGTACTGGCGTCCGGTCGTGTATCACTTCTGCGCGGTACATGTTAAAGACCCCAGGCTAGCGGTCGTATTGCTCTGGCTAAATTGCTCATCTACAGCGAGTGACTCGTCGCAATTTTGAAATGGCTGGCCAACTACGTGCTGTATAAATATCCACACAACCCCGATTTTTTGGGGGTCTGTTTGACAGCGTTGCGGCTGCGAAAATCCAGGACATCCCTGCTTCGTATGTCGCGTGCCTAGCTAATCTTTGAATTGAGTTGCACACTTCATACGAAGTATAGATGTGCCGGTGACTCGCTTCCGTTTCTTGGCACAGCGCAGTCAAACGAACTGGTTGGTTGGTTGGTTGTATTGTTTGCCAGACGTGAAATTTGCCTCACTCACGGTGGGCACGTTTCACGGGCCTGGGTTATTGTAGGTTGATGAGGGTGAATGCGGGGAAAGGGAAGGGAAAATATGGTGATGAAGGGGTCCGGGGATGACGAGGGCAGCGTTAGCAAAATAATGACTCAACACGTTTCGCGGGCGAAAATAAAAAAAAAAATTATTAGGGCCGTTAAGACGAACTGTGACATATGTTCAATCAATGCTGTACACGACAGAACCCCATAGCGCGCACCAGCAAGCACAAAATAAATAATGAGAGTGCTTATATCGTCGCGAAGGCAAAGCTGGAAGCGCGAGCACGAAAGCTCCGCGCGCTCAGGCTTTGCTCGAGCACGCGAGCTGGGGAGAAGCGCTAAAAGCGCTGGTCTCGCGCTCTCAGCCCCGGCCCCGCCCGCAAATAAGGCGAAACGAAGTATAGGCTACCGTTCTAAAGTTTCTTACACGTCACAGTCACAGTCTTGAGAGTAGTTCGCACGCGCCCAGAAAACAAAACACAAATGTTCTCAGCCGTATGCACGTGGAAGTTGGTCCCTTCGGAAATAATGTAGCTTCGAGCGTGAAAGGAATGTCCAGCCACGGCCACTCGATTAGGACTCCCCTTGGGAGCGGCCTGCCGTATGCCTCACTCCGCCGGTGAGAGCGATAGTTCTACTTCACCCCGCAGCGCCAGCCGTGGCGCTCGTTATCGGTGAGAGATAGAGTTTCCCTCTGAGGAGCATATCGAGGAACTCTATACTTCGTACTTGTTAGCCGCGCGTGCTAAAAGCGCGAGATAGTTGCTTCGAAGGAAGCCTCGGCGGCTGCATGTGCGCTCGTGCAGCGAGTGCTCCAGTCAAGGCAATAAAGGCTAGCCGCTCGCGCTAGCACAGCGTTCGCGGTAGTCCATGCTAAGGTAAGACAAAATATAGTGAGAGAGGAGCAGTACGCCCGGCCCGGCCCGGTGTGGCTATTTAGATTTTTTTTTTTCGTGAAGCCGCAAGTCTCAATTGAAACGAGTGCCAGATTGCATGAATGATGTGACAAATTTGTGTAGAATAAAAGCACATGATTCTTTCTGCGAAAAGCTCACTCAGCTGCAGGCTGCGCGTTAAAGCTGCATTCTGCTGGCAGTATGAGCGAATTGTCGTCTTCTTGTTCCCGTAACTGTTGCCCCGTTTCTATTACCACTGTACCACTGTAATATATATAGGAGTTATAGTTGGATATAGCTAGGCCGTATGATTTCCGGTTTTAACCGACGCTCGAGCACGCGCGAGCTGTGCCATTTATTCATCTGTGAAGGACAATATAAAATCAGATTCTGCGTGCATACCTTTAGCGATATAAACTTCATTGTTCACAACAAACAGACCGAGGGGGTCATATAGTTCACAAGCGGAGTACCTTTCGGGAAAGAGGCTTCCGCGAAAGCCTCAATATATTCTCTAGTGGGCTGTTTAGGTCACCAGCCCAGTTTGCCAAAAAAAGGTCTGAGGAGTTTTCTGAGAAAGAGCTCGCAGAGCTCTTCGCTGTGGTAGGGGTCTTGGCAGTTAACACACCACATCAGCGGGCAGTCCATAAGGTCTGGAAGCACAGCGCTCGAGAGGACCTTGCAAATCGTTCCACAACCACGAATCTCTGCCGACTGTAGAGCGCTCTCTACAAAGGTGCAGACGAGCTTGCACAGCCAGACAGCTTCAGGTCGTGGATAGCTGAGTCCTCCTTGGTCAAGGCTAAACATAAACTGATTTGCTCCGTCATGTGATGCATTTCCCTTAAGTTGCGCTTGCATTCAGGACACGTCACCTGCAAAGTTTAGCGGGTTCTACACATTAGCCTTCCTTGCTTTCACTGAGAAATTCTTATTGCTTTGCTAGGTTGAATGTTTTGAGCTAATTACTTTGAAATTACGACAATTTCTACAAATAAAAATGGTCACCTTTTGTTCGCAAACGAAGGCGAAGTAGCCAGCCATGTAAGTCAGCGGTGTGAACTCAAGTTCGGAAGGCACTTCATTGTACTTCATCAACTGCAGGATTTCCCGTTTCACGAGTGGAGTTGGCACATTTCATCGCCGTCCGGCACTCAGAATTCAT